CTCCTCCTCCTCCTCCTCCTCCATGGTCTGCATGTTTGACCAGAACTCCTGAAACAGAACACAAAACTTCAAATTCACCTACAACCCCTTTGCTTTTGTTGTGTTTTTCACACATCAGCCGAGCCACAGGTCAGATTCACATCTGATATCATGTCGTCTTTGTTTCTCATGTCTCTAGATTTGTCTTTCTGCTGAAAACACTGGTTGTGTCCTTGTTCTCAACTTGTACAAAAACACGTTTTTATCATGAGACTCATTTCTGTGACACGAGTGCATCGTCTCAAACCTCTGTGGGTGTCGCACCTTGTCGGCGGGGTCGGCGATGAGTCCGTCCCTGATGTGAATCCTCATGTGTTTGCGGAGCAGGCAGGGCCGCAGGAAGCTCTTGGAGCAGATGCTGCAGGAGTGAGGTTTGTCGGACATGTGGATCCTCACGTGCGATCTCAGGTTGGCGGCGGTGGTGAAAGTCTTTCCACAAGCTGAGCAGCAGTGATGCTTCTTCATAGCATCGATCTCAATGTGAAAATGAGAAGATGTGAGGTTTATATACAAGTTTGAATGATTTCCTGAACTGATTTTTATCATACGTCACATGTCGATTATTTCAGAGTCTGTTAAACAACCAACAATCTTCAGACCCAAGTTCACAGCTCTTCAAAATAAAAAGCTCTGAAATGCATTTCAAGCATTACAGGACAAAATGAATGTTGGGCTTTTACTTTGAAGACAAATTGCCAAACAGGAAGTGATTCAATGAATATTGTCACCATCGTCATCTCACTGATGTTCACTTCTCAATAAAACAAGAGGCTGGAACCAGACGCTCACCTGGTGGACGCCTTGTGAAGGCGGCCACTCGTCGGGGGCTGTGGCGGCGGCGGCGTGTCCCTCCTTGCTGTGGATCTCCTGGTGCTTCCTGAACACTCTCTGTACAGAAAATCTCTTCTGGCAGACATCGCACTCAAACGGTTTTTCTCCGGTATGAGACCTGACGTGCTCGCTCAGCCGGGACGCTCTGGTGAAACCGCGGCCACAGGTGTCGCAGGTGAAGTGCAGCACCCTCTGGTGGAAGTGCTGGTGCAGCTGCAGCTTCTCAGCGGTGGAGAATTTCTTGTGGCACAGGAGGCAGCTATGAGACGTCTCCCCCTGATGAGACAATGTGTGATGTGTTACATGTTTCTCTCCCTCACAAGGGTTTGATGAGGACATCTTACATCTTCAGTATTTAGAAATCGTTTGTGTCTGCACCCACTCCCAATAGTCCTATATGATACTGTCAGCTAGAAGATAAAACCAATAACCTAAACTAAAGTCACCGACTCATTTTTAATATTCCAGATAGGAAACACTCCACTCCACCTAAACATTGAATTTGTCGTAAGGCAACAGTCGCCTCTTTTGCTTTGAGGTCGTTTTCGGTTCTTGTCACCAAACATTGAGTTCAGGAAGCTTCACTCACCCTCTTTGCAGCCTCAAGCACATCTTCTTCCTCGGCATGTTTCTGCAGGTGTTTCCTCAGCAGCCCCGGCCGGTTGAAGCTCTTGTGGCACAACGAGCAGGGGTGTGGTTTCTGTCCCGTGTGGAGCCTCACATGATCCCTATAGGACGACGGTGTGGAGAAAACCTTCTCACAGAACGAGCAGGAGCGCAGGTTCTCCTCTTTGTGGGTCTTCTGGTGACCGCTGAGCCCGGTCCTAGAGGCAAAGCGCTTGGGACACAGCGGACAGGAGAACGGCCTCTCGCCTGTGTGCATCCGTTCGTGTTGTACAAGGTGCCGCCGCTGAACGAATCCTCGCCCACACACCGAGCATTGGTGGGGCTTCTCAGCGGCGTGTCCGAGCTGGTGCCTCCGCAGGCAGCCCAGCTGGGCATAGCTGACCCCGCAGATCGGACAGGAGTACGGCTTCTCACCGGTGTGGACGCGCTGATGCACTGTCACGTTTATCTTTTTGCTGAAGCGCTTCCCACACACAGAGCAGCTGTGCGGTTTGTCGCCTGAGTGCGCGGCCATGTGGTCCGCCAGGCGGGACGGACGAGCAAACTCTCTGCTGCATACTGTGCAGCGGTGACGGTATTTTGACTGACAGCTGCCTTGTTTTGAAGCAGGTTCGTCTGGATCTGTCGCTTCTCCTGTAGAAAGGACACGGACATGAGTATCTCAAAGTGACTCCACACACACTCAGGTGATGACTCATCTTGCTCCTGTACGTCTGGCTTCTTAAAGCTGTCTGCAGAACATCAAGACTCTGATTCACACCAACTCAATACCAATATAATTATTATTAAAATGAGTGGGGCAGGATCCCACAGATATGATTCAAACAGGACGTCCTCCTGTACCACAGCACCAGATGTGGCTCAGAAAGAAAGCGTTCCCCGGCAGCTGGAAGACTTTTATGGTGAAAGAAACAGACGCCAGATGTTTTGATGCTAATTAGACAGTTTTAGATGAAGGAGAAAGTCTGAATCTCTGACCTTGACAGTCTGCTCCTCTTTGTTCTGCTTCAAATTTCACTCCATTCATCTCCTCATCCTCTGGACCTCTGGGAAGAAAATAATGAGAGTCGGTCACTTCCTGATCAGATCGACAGCTTATTCAACATTAAAAGTGTGTGTGAAGCTTGTGGCTGTTCCTGAAGAAGAAGTCGACAAGATGTGGCTGAGAGCTCTGGAAAAACCTTGAAGGTAGAAATCTGATTTGTTTTGACCATAAACTGTTTGGATTTTTCCAGTCCGAGTTTGGATCAGAAGAAATCATCATCACGTAGAAATCTTGGTGTGGGATTTAGAAAAGCTTCACTGTTACACTGTCCACCTCTCGCCCGAATGTTCCTCACATGTTCCTGTGGTGAACGAGTCTGACCTGGACAATCTGCTGCTGCTGCTCACATGTGAAAAACAAACTCCACAACACGTGTGGACACACATTTCTGGAAATGTTCCAGTTAATGAACCGATATCTTCTAAAGAAGACCAGTGTCTGCTCTTATCACCACAAACTCTCTTCGTCTTCTTAGTGTATGACGCTACTTCTTCACCTGCGGAGGATCTGCTGTGTTCTCACATCAAACTCTGCTGACTTTCTACAGACTTCATACCAGGCGGCCAGACAGAGAAAGTCTACAGATAGTCTGGAGCCTCTCACTCGGACTTTTGTGTTCACGCATGCACATCCTCTGGAGAAACTACGGAGGATCTGCAGAGTTCGGCTCACGTCTGAAAGCAGCTTACCTTAACATTTGTGCCAAATTTGAATGGATACTCTACAGATGTGCTAAAGATAATGTCTTCATGGGGTCAGAGTGACCTTTGACCTCCAAAAATCCAAAAGGTGAGTGTTTCTGCCAAATGTGAGGATATAT